CTGGAACTCGGAGAGCGCTTTCTTGGCTCCTTGTTTGGCCGCTTCTTCACATTCTTGTGCACGCGAGGACTGCAGCTCGGAGAAGGCTTTCTGGCTGGCCCTCAGGGCAGCCCTAGCTTCGTCAACCTCACGCTGAAGCCTGGCCTGAGAATGGTTGGCTGCGTGAAGTGCCCTGATGGTCTTGGCGAGCCCCTGCAAGATAGACAAACGAAAATGTGAGGGGGTTCAGGGATAAACACAATCCGCACCAAAACGTGATCAACCTACCTCGATATGTGACCGGATAGAACCCTCCAAGAGGGGATGAAACTCTTGGGAAGTCGTACAGGTGAGGTCGCCTGGTGGGAGGATTGATGAAGCATAATCCACGACCGGGAAGCCTTCATGCACAATCGAGGCACTCGAAGACGGGAAGGTATAAGTAACTGTATGTTGGGTGTCATGGCTGCTCCGTTCGGCCATCCTCTCATCTGCACCCTCATGTACCTGCTCAGCGGAATGAAACTTGGGGGCGACCTTGGCCTTCTTCGAGACTCGTTCCCCTCGGCCCGGGGAGGAGGCTCCGCGCTCTTTCCCCGCAACCGTCTTGGGGGCCACATCAGCAACGGCGGGGCAGGGCCCCTCCTCCTCCTCCTCATCGGACCCATCCAATTGGACTAGCAGATCGACGAGTCCGCCCTTGTGCTTCTCCTGCACTGGCGTAGTTGGTCGAGGCCCGAAGGTAACTCTCACCCTTCTTGGAGGGGGGGCTCCGTGCCCTTTCTCCTTTGCAGCCGTTGCTGCCACAGGAACGATGACTTGTTGAGGCTCCTCCTCTTCATCAGATTCCGCCTCAACAACGAGCTTCTCAGGCACAGCTGCGGAAGAAAAATGCGAGGATAAGCAGGATAAAATACAAAGTAGCAAACATAGACCAGGGAGACGACAATCGCCTAAATATGAGCTGATGAAGTGGGGACCGCCTGCGGACAGTGTCTCAATGGAGGACTTGAGACCAGGGGAGAGAGCGACCCGGTCACACTTCCGAACCCGCTCACCCCACTGAAACGGAGGTGACGGGAGATCGGGGTCAGACACCCAGATCCATCTCTTCTTCCACCCCTTGCCTGAAGCGGGGTAACCCGGCCGAAACAGTTTGCTCACTGACCTCTGGGAGAGAGAGGTGAAAAAGCTAGAAGCACGCCACTGGAAACAGCTGAAAAACAAATCGATCGTGGGTGTGAGGCCCACACCCTCACATCGCGACACGAAAGCTGCAACGAACATGTGAGCCGCCGGAGCCAATTGACCCGGTGCCACACCCAAGAAGTGAAGGAACCGAATCAGGAAGGGATGCAGTGGCACAGCCATCCCTAACTCCAGAGAGCGGATATGGACCCCGAAATATGGGGTTGGTGGATTGCTCAATATGTCAGTAACTCCCGGAGTTTCCAACAAACAATTATTACCAATCAAACCACATGCCATGATAAGGTCATCCTCCGTGACGCGAGAAGGGAGGCCCGGTATTCCGCTGCTATCAAGGTCCCACCAGGAATCCAGGTCTGCCCGAGTATCGGAATCATCATCTGAGTCTGGTACGTTCACAGGTCGGATGCATGCCCTATCTGGAACATTGAGAGGTCGTCCCTCAGAAGTAGCAACCCGCCTAGCTGGAGCCAACTCAGGGAGAGCATCAGCTTGCCGCCCAGTAGTAGCACCTGCATGCATACGGGGCCGAGGGCCGTGGCTGACCCGCATGGGTCTCGCAGCTGCCCCACGCTCTACTTCAATGTCAGCCGATAATCCCAAAGCCACATGACCGTTATTTTCATAAGCAGAGCGCCCATCGCCTTGCATTTTTCACACTGGGAAGAGAAGACCGGATCTGCAAAAAAAAAAAAGCGTGAGATAAGTTCGATTTCCAAGAATTTTCACCAAGGGATGCGGGATGAAGATCCTGGGAAACAAACTTCGGAGGTCCAATTCCCCCGGAACCCGGTCACCCGCACGTTAGCATGAACAATAGGGTGGCCTCCGGATTCTAGAAACCGCGCCAGTCAAGCATGGGGGACCAGACCTATCGGCCAGACCCGCCGGACTGCAGGGGCGGTGTCGCAGGCGGCGAGTGACGCAGGACAAGCATTGGGCGCGGCAGGGGCCGGCCTGTGGAATCGGTGAACCACACACGGCGTCCAACCAAATTGACAGCTAAGCCGGCAAAAAAGGGGACGGTGCCGCCCAAATTGGACCCGGAGGACCACTTGGCCGCTCGGCTTCCTAGCCAACGACGGCTGGCAGCGCCCAGCCTGAGAGCGCCTGGTCGCCCGCCCGCCTGGCCGCCAGCCTCCTGGGACGGTGCCGCCCAAATTGGACCCGGAGGACGACTTGGGCGCTCGGCTTCTTAGCCAACGACGGCTGGCAGCGCCCGGCGTGAGGGCACCTGGTCGCCCGCCCGCCTGGCCACCAGCCTCCGGGGGGGGGGGGGGGGGCGCTCATCCCTGAAGATTGCGCCGGCCACAACGAGATCCAAGACCCGCCGGCCAATTTCGCTGGACGCCTGGACTGTCGGGGACGTCGGCGACCGGCGGGTGGCGCGAGACAGCCGCTTGGCGCAGCAGAGGCCGACCCAAGAGCCGCCACGAGGGAAACAACGGTCAACCCCGTCGGCCGGTTGACTGCGGCACTGCGCGACGCGAGGGAGACGGACGCGAGGAAGACGGACGCAAGAAAAAAGAAAGGAAAGAAAAAAGAAAGGAAAGAAAAGAAAAGAAAAGGAAAGAAAAGAAAATGAAAGAAAAGAAAAGGAAGGAAAAATAAAATAAAGTCCAAAAATAATTTATGAAGTAATAAAAATGAATTTCAGGGATTTTTTGAAGCTGACCTGGATCCTGAAGTCTGGGAGAAAGCTTGCTGCTGGAGTGCTAGAACGCTGAGCGAATTAATTTGGGGTCTTTTAAAGTTGGATGCCTTATTCGAAATTTGGAAATCTCCATAAATTGTGGGATTGACAGAATCCACAATTATGACTCCCTGATATGTGAATATTTTTTAATGGGCAGCTGACCTGAACTACTCCCTCTTAGCCGAATCTACTACTCGACTAAGGGAGTGGGGGACTCGTGATGGGGTTATGGGACTAGGCCCAGAGCCTAATCAGTCCAGGCCCCGAACTTGGACCAGCGGGCCCAAGCCCAGCAACCTAGAGCTCGAGTCGGCCCAACCAGGGCAATCAAGGGTTGAAGCCCAAGAGAGCCTGTCGACCAGCCCGGTGGGGAGCCTGCCTTCCAGCCCAGTGGGGAGCCCGCCTTCTAGCCTAGCCAGGAGCCTGCCGACCACCAGCCCAGCTGGGAGCCTGCGGTCCAGCCCAACCGGGAGCCTGCCTTCCAGCCCAGTGGGGAGCCTACCTTCCAGCCTAGCCAGGAGCCTGCCGACCACCAGCCCAGCTGGGAGCCCGCGGTCCAGCCCAACTGGAAGCCTGCGGTCCAGCCTACCCGGGAGCCTTCCTCCAGCCTAGCGGGAAGCCCATCGTCCAGTCCAGCAGGAGGGAGCTCAAGCGTCCAGCCTGCCTGCCAGGCTGACCTGCCAGCCAAGAAGAGTAACGACCAACAATTAATGCGCGACTTAATTATGTGTTTAATTCTGTATTAATGTTGTAATTAATTTAGTCATTATTATGTTCGGCAGTTACCATTTGTAATCGCCTATAAAAGGCAATTCGAATTTCAAATACAGATATGCTATTTCTGGCTAACTTTCCATATTCGTACTTTCCTAATTCTTGCTTGAGTGTCGTACGTAGCTTTCCTAAAAGCCTACGAGCGTCCTATTTTGGACCAACACTTAATTTTAATACAAAACATTGTTACTTTGTTAGTATTCATTTTTCAGTTCATTATACTAACACATACGTAGTATCTTATACAGAGAGTATTGATATACCTTCAAAATGTACATAAAATAAAATAAAAATATAAACTGAGAAGTGAAAAACTATAGCAGGGCCGAAAGATCCTTTCAGGTTTTGTTTTTATTACTCTGGAGTCTGGACTAGAATTCTAGAAAAGCAAACGTATTGTATCATTTTGACCACAACGAGTCAAATAATCATGTTATCCCGTTTGGTGACCTGTTTTCGGCTTATCAATTATTTTTTTTACTAAACATGTAAATTTTGATTTCGTGCGCCGAATTGTGTGATAATAAGAAAAAGTAAAAGTGGAGTTACTTCTTTGATTGTATTGACTGAAGTTACTATGAAAAATCATTTTAGTTATTTTTTCACATATTTTTTTATTTATTTTATTAATAAAAAATATTGGGAAATGTACGGAAAAAGTACATGTGGTTGAGCTCAGATAGGGTCATGTGTTTCATTCTTTATCAAAGTGATTCATGTGTTTGAATTTCGTTATCATAAGAGGGTCACGCCATTAAAAACGTTTGAAAAAGATCGTTAAAAGTAACTCCGGTTTTCAAAAGTGCCCGAAAAATTAAAAGAAAAATACCGGAAGGTGCGCCTCAATAAGACGACCGCTAGGTCATCTTTCTTTTTTGTATTCAACCTCCCTTGTCACCGGAAAGTCCATCGGGAAAGTGATATTAGCGAAATCATTTTTAAAAAATAATTCAAACAGATTTGAAAAATCCAAAGGCGAAGGTGGTTTGGAGGTCATCTTGGCGAGGCGCACCTTTCGGTAAATTTCTTTTAATTTTTCAGAAACTTTTGAAAATCAGAGTTACTTTTAACGGTATTTTTCAGACGTTTTTAACGACGTGACCCTCTTGTGATAACGGAATTCAAACACATGAACTACTTTGATAAAGAATGAAACACATGACCCTATCTGAAAAGGGACCCAACCACATGTACCTTTTATGTACTTTTCCCAAAAATATTTTAAATATAATTTTTTCATAAATTAGAAGAATCAGCCAATGCAGCCACTTCACCCAGAACTTCATAATTTAAGCAGAATAAACCGATTCAGTCAATTTCAGTGTTACCAAACGAGTTCTGGTTTTATCAAATAACTATCCGAAATGGAAACACTCAATTAACACAAGTTTGAAATCGTAGCAATAACTAAAAAGTGCGCTTGGGAAATCTGAGCCTAATGAGAACATTCAAGAGTACTGGTTTTATACCGTAGAGAGATTCATATATAGCAGACAGACTTCTGTTGAAGGTTTGAAGCCATCCACTTAAAAATACTTGCTTCCCAATAGACAAAAGATGAAGATTCCAAAATGAGATGAGTTTCAAGAACTCTATACATTCTTGTATTTTAAAATTAAAAAAAAAAATCACAAAAGGCAGTGGATTACAAAAATAAACTATTATCCTTCAAGTTTGCTTAAGAGTGCTTCAACAGGAGGTAACTCCTTGACAATCTGTCCCCAGTCTGGCAACCCCTGAAAGATAATAAATAATAATAATGATAGAGCCGGAGAGTAAATTCCACAGAGAACAAGAAAAGGGTATGAATTGAATAAATGCAGTACTCATCCTGACCTTTCCAGATCTTCGAACACGACCATCTAGACGAAGTATAATATATACATCTTCACCAGGAGTAACACCTTCAGATTTCTGTTGATCTCTAATCCATCTGAGCAAAATTAACAACCCATGCACAGCCCAGAATGACAACATGAAACTCAATAAGATCAATAAGATTAACGCCTACTGTTCTCCTAGGAAATTCTTTTTAGTTAATGGGAAAAACATACTGTTCCCACTCAACTGGGGACACTGCCTCTGCTTTGAACCGAATCTCTGCTTTTAATTTTGATTGAGCAATTATCGACTCACTTCGCTTCTCGAAATCTTCCTGTCATCACAAAAAACATAAAAGTGTATACATTGTTAATCCCCGATGTTAGTCCCTTTATCATTCAAATTGAATAAAAACTAAAAACAACGCAGAACGTCATCTGAACAGATAAAAATGTCTTTCCTAATGAAAAAATAAACTTTTTTTACTCAAGGGGGGCCTGGAGTAATCAGGGCTGAAACTCATTCCATTGAGTTTCAAACCCTTATGACTAAATTCGACACAAATTGCTAGTCCAGGACCACATGGAGTAATAATAGTGCATGCTCGAGGGCTAAGCGGATAAGTAAGATATTAAATCTTACAAGCATTACTTTCATGAGTTTCATCACACATATTTGCAGTGAGCAATTACTTCTATGTTCCAAGTTCTATGCATTTTTTCACTGCCTTGAGAGAATAATCTGACTGTTCTACAAGCATAGCATCCCAAGTAGCTGCTTGTTACTAGGAGTCTAGGAATACTAGGAATGTTTACACATGTGGCACGTCATGCTTCAACTTTTACAGATCATTCAGAAGTCATTTGGTAAGCGCAGATTTCGATCAAATTACTAAAATTGCATAATATTAAAAAAACATATAGAAAAACGCTAATGACCATCTTCATTAACTTTAGCAAATTCAGCCAAAAAGTATTTCTGCCCCTTAAATAAATTAAACTAGTTTTGCTTAAACTAGAGTGACAATTCAAATAAACTAAACTAGTTTTAGTAAAAACCACTGGCTGATAAGTGGAATAAATTGGCTATCATAGTTCCGAGCAGCCACTCAAAGTTCCAATCTTACCCCAATTGAAGGCAGAGAAGCGGATGTCTTTGGAGAAAGGCCAAATCCTTTTTTCGGTGTCTGTAGGTCCCGTCCATCACCCCATATAACCGGAATTAGAAGGACTCCGCGCTTGAGTAGCTCACTGCGGAACCTCTCAGCTCTTTTCATGGACAGAGTAACTGTTTCTTTCTTCCCAGCCAAAATAACCTATATTTGCAAGAGCCAGATTAAAACCTAAATTGAATTGCATTATGAGAAGGAAGAGAGATTGGAAGATGTAGATACACTGAGATAAGTCATTGAAAAGTGACTCCATGTTAAGTCAGGAGGAGAAAAGCACTAAACAAGTACTCAGCAGCAAAATATGAACGGAAGCAAAGTATAACACTAAAAAAGTTTAATGGCATGTTTATATTTCTTGTCAACTTTTTCCTTGATTTACCAAACTTCTAAGAGCTCCTACAAGTGCAATTCTTTGTGCAATGACCTAAACAGCAATAAGAAGACTATGTTTTCATTTAATCTGAAATATTATTGCATCTAAAATATGAAGAAGGATAGAAGAAGACGGAGATTCATGTTACTAACAGGTCTCACAGTGTTGCGTAATTGGACAAGTTCAACAATTCTATTAGTTGAAAGGCGAATGGGAAGCCTTGACAGCGTTTCATCCCTTGTTATTTGCACAAGCTGTTCCTCCTCTTTCTTGTTGTCCCACAAGAGCAAAGCTATAAAAACAACAATACCTGCAATATTGCTGGTTCAAAAACTCAATCATTTTATGGAATGGTGGAATTAAAGTTTTTTAAAGGAATAGAAATACCTTTTACTGCCAAAAAAAGCATTTGAAATAAATAGAAAGTGTTTTAACAGTAAAAAAACACATTAATGGTTAACTAGGAGAATAACCAGTTGGTGCTCTTCCAGAAAAACTTTGAGTGCTTTAGTAAGAAAGCGAATATGATAAATACATGTATTACAGCAAGCCCATAAGTTATCATAAAAGAGCAAAGATTCTTCTTCAACAGTTCCACCCCAGGATAAGCAATAGTAGTATATTCAGCAACAAGGAATTAAAGTTTTTTTAGAGAAAATAGAAATACCTTTTACTTCCAAAAGAAGCGTTCTGGAAAAAAAATGAAAGTGATTTTGACAGTAAAAAACACTTTAATGCTTAATTAGGAGAGTAACTGGTTGGTGCTCTTCCAGAAAAACTTTGAGTGCTTTAATGAGAAAGTGAATATGATAAAAAGCAGTTATTCCAGTAAGCCCATAAGTTTTTATAAAGAAACAAATATTGTTCTTCCATAGTTCCACCCCAAGGTAAGCAATTGTAGTATAGTCAGCGACAAAAACAAATTAAACCAGAAATTTTCGTTACGCACCGCCAACATTGATTGCAGCATTTCCTGCAGTTTCCCAAATATCAGGAGAACCATCTCCACCTTGAACTGCACGGATTAGCCTTGGTATGGTGAATAACAGAGATATTCCTGCAGCTGCAGTAAATGCCACATAAAAGAATCTTCTAACCCCTCGAAATGGAGCCTGGACCTCACTAATGAGCTTCAGGTCTCTTCTGAAACTGTACCCAATATCTTCTCCGCCTAGCCTAGCCTGAAATTACGGTAAAAAATAATATTGTAGATAATAATGCTTGTAACAAAAAACTTGGAGTTGCTTTCATTATATCATGATCACCTTGATCCTGACTATGTCGGAGTAAGTGACATACTACCTCTGTACCTAAAAGAACTTCCTAGTTTGAATAGCACACACTTTAAGGAAGTAATTTCTTCCCTTTGTTCTTTCCTTGTTATTAAGGGTCAATTTTACTATAGAGTACACTATTTTGACACTATTTGTCACTGTATAGCCATTATTATTTAAGAATAGTGGACGAAACTGATAGGAATTTGTTTACTAAATAATAAAAGAGGACTTTATTGAGGAACATCCAAAAAAATAAAAGCAAAAAGTTCTTTAAGGGACATAGGGAGTATAATGATATAATCTTTTTTTTTACTTATATAACGACCTTACTTGAACAGGATCTGTTCTATAGGACCGTACCTCTGAATCCTTGAATAATGATATAATCTATCGTGTCAATTGTTTAAAATTAGTTGATATTATGTTTACCATACCACATTGGCCATTTGGTTGTTTAGTGAGTTTGAGTCTTCTTCATCATTACCCCGGTGCCGCAAAGGCTCCCACCTACGGTGGGGTAAGGGGGGTCGGATGTACGCAGCCTTACCCATGTACTAAAGTATAGAGAGACTTTACGGATGAACCAAAGTGAAAATCGCGTCAAAAATTGCATAGAACGACTGTTGCTTCATAACAAAGAAGCGCAAACAATTTGGTGAGCCATTTTGCTTTATTTCATCATATTCCCAAGCCAAAAAATAGTGAGTCTTTAACTCCATTGCAAATGATGGAAATTAGTGAGTTTGAGTCTAGTGAGGTTAATTTGGCCTCTTGAAGATCTTTTGAGGGTAATTTAGGGCCTATTTAACATGGTATCAGAGTCGATATGGTGTTTGTTTTTTGGGTTTCTGAATACTTTATAGTTAGGTCCATTTGTTCACCCCTTCATTGTCGCACTTGGCTTGGGTTGTGGTGGGTGTGTTGAGTATGCATATTGGTTGTCCACTTGGTGTAAGTACATTATAGTGTATATGAGGCAAACTAAAACTGAAGATCTTTTTAGGGTGTGTCCGCTAACACACTACAACCACAAACACAAACAAACAACATCCAAGCCTAATTTCCAAAAGATTTTGGGGTCGGCTAACATGAATCGATTCATAATATCAAAGTCAACCACATGCAAAAAAAACTAACGTCCTTCCAATTGAACCTTCTTACAAATGTATAATGCGGCCAAATTCCAAAATTGTCCTCACCATAGTTTCTTTTCAATTGCATGGGTGATGAGTTCATGTACTTGTAGTCTTACGTCTCATTACACCATTGATATTGTAAAATATACATGCTCGTCTAGAACATATAAGAGGGAAAACGTGAAAAATATAATTGATATAAATCAAGCGCAAACTTTGGTAAGCAAGGAAGGTAAGAAAATTCAGAAACACAGGCAATGAATGAACAACAAACCTCTTCCTGCAACTCCTTAAATACAGGCAATGCTCTAAAGGAAGCCAAGTCAGGATCATTTAAGATGGTGCTAAACTTGAGATTATATTCTTTCAAAGCAAGGCGCAAACACTCAGCTGCTCTTTTACCTTCCCCCCTTTCCCGGAAACAAACAAGAAAATAAGATCCAATAGCGATGCTAAGTGAATTACTGAAAGACAAGCTGCTTAGTAGCACAGAGAAAAAAGAAAGCTGAAACCAACATTACCTGTATGCATGACAGCAAGCTTTATTATAAAGTGCAGCTTGAGCTTCTGCAGGGTTGGGATCTAAAGAAAGTGCCGAGTCAAACTGCTCCAAAGCATCTTTCACCTGAAATTTAAAAACAGTGTTCATATACCACTCTAATGGCCTGTTTGGTACGTGTTACTCCCTCAACCCCACTGTCTCGATCTTCAACTATTCTTTGTGTGTGTACTCTGTTGGGCTAAGTCGTACCATACCGTATTTGGTGATATTTATGTGCCTCAAATTCATTCATAATTAACAAATTCAATATCAACTACATATATTAATTTTTCTTAATATACGTGTTGCTTTCTCATGTCGCAAAGATAGTGGGATGAAGGTAGTGTCACGTTGAAATGTGTAAACTATCTTAACTTTTCAAAGCTAACAGTGTTTGATGGCATCCGTTTCAACCAAATAAGTAGTCAAAAAAACATTTTGTGTTTATTCTGATTATTCTGCATATGCAGAATCAGGCTACCAAATCTAAGCTTTGTGGAAAATAGCCAGAGCATGCATCTTCGAGAAGAAACAGGATCTTTTTCTGATAGATTCATACATGTGATCCTATTAAGGTCAAAAGTGAAAACGGTGGGTTAAAAATTAAGTTTTCACTTCAACTTCGTTATAGGCATAACCAATTGAGACAGAGCACCCACTCTATTGAGAACATTTGTGCAGAACCCATCATGTATCTATAAATGAACTGCTATTTTTGATATTGCATCTTAAGAAACTAATACTAGTGTTCAATTTTTGTTGGATGGTCAATAATTGTAATGGGAGTCAAGAGGCAAGAGCAGGAAAACAAGGAATAAAGATTCCATGTAAAAGCTACAAGTCCGCAACCTATCTATTACTCCGTAATATGAAGAGTTGAGAGAGAAGCACGTGATGCGTACCCGTCCTTTAGAAAAGAGAGAAAGACCCAAATTAACGCAAGACTCAGCCGTGGAAGCTGTGGCATTGGATTCCGGTGGCGGCGGCGGCGAAGTGGAAGCAGAAGAGACCTGGTAACGGAGAGGTCTTTCCGAGGAAGCGAACAACCGTGGTGCGTGTATCCTTGTTACAAGTGCAGCTCTAGATAGGTCCGAGGCGAAGTAGCGGCAGCTGCTGTAGTGATGGTGGAAGGCAGCGGATGCCGCGGCCATGTATTAGATTTCATGAGCCATCAAAGTTATCCCTTTTCCCAGATTTTATTTGTTCATTTTCACTCGATTGGAAATGAAAATCTATCTTACTGAGAATGAGAAGTTAGAGTATTTATACTGGCACTAATTCAACTAACTAACAGCTAGTGAAACCGAAGTCTAAGGGGTGTTTGGTAAACGGCTTATCAGCCGTTTTTTAGCTTGTTTGACTCAAAATAGATGTTTGACTAGGTTAAAAAGCCAAAAATGTTGTTTGGTAATCAGCTTGTCCATTCGACTTATCGATGCGAAGAAGCCGATTTTTGAAACGTCAGACCACCCAGCGTTTAGGTTTTATTTCGGCTTATCCAATTTTTTTTTGCCGTCTATACCCTGCTGTGCATCTCCATTTTCTCAGCCGTCTTTCTTCTTCGCCAAATAACAAAGGTACGTAACTTTCTTGCTTGATTTTTCTTCTGATTTTTTCCCCAATTTTTTTTTTAATTTCCGATTAGTTTAATTGCCTTTCTTCTTCTTCTTCTTCTGATTTTTCCCCATTCTTTGTAGTATATCAGAAAACAATAAGCTACCAAAATCAGAGAAAGGGTCAAGGAAGAAAGATCTTCATTACTTCCCAAGACTTCAGCCCAGGTATTCCGAAAATGGAACCAGTCCTATATATATAAACTTTATTTGAACAAAAAATGTCTTTTTTTAGATTGTGTATTTTATATTGATTTTGATTTATAAGCTTCATATGTTGGTGATTTCTGTTGACTTCATATGTTTCAGTGAGCTAACTTTGCAAGTGTATTATTGTTGTGAATATTGGGCAGCTTGGTGTTTGTGGATTTCTTTGTAAGTTTCTGATTTCCTACTTGCCCAAAAGGTGTTTGTTAAAATGCTTGTGAGGAAGTAGTTTGTTGTTTGGTTCCATCTGCTGCACTTTTACACTCACAGGGGTGCTTGTGAGTTTTTTCTTTGAGAATCAACTTTAGAGCAGAGAACTTAAGTGGTAAATAGCCTGCCTAATTAACCATCCCAAGCATGAGGTTTATTGTTTATTTTAGCTTTTTAAGTCATGTAATCAAGAAGGTAGGGGAATGGACTGTATAGACCGTGGCATAGCAGGGGGAGAAGAACACTTAAAAGCTATGGATGATTTAGTTGCCATATCATTAAAATGCATTCGTCCAGTTAACAAAAGGCCTAGCATCAGACAAGTCCTTGATGATCTGAGTTCCATTTGTGTGTGATGAAGCTGTGTTTTATTTTGTACATGTGTATGTGATTTGTCTCTTGGGTTGTGGTGGTAATTCTTTCTCATGAGTTTTATTTTTTAAACCAATTGGTTGGTTCAGTTGCCGTTTAATAGTAAAAAAAAGCTTTTTAAGTCCTCCTCTCTATACTTTTCAGGATTAGCCAAAACATATTTAGTGGGCTGATCTGGACCTTTTCAATATGGGGTCTTAATCTTTATTATATGGGGTAGTGTCTTATTAAGTTAATAATTAATGATAAGTGAACAATGGTTATGTGTAATAGTTCAATTGATAGAAAATGTTTGTAAATGTTATTTCTGTTTTAATATGTTTAATAGTATCTTTTCGTATTGTATTTGGTTTATTAAAGTGCTTGTAAATTGATATTTGTAATGGAAATATAAAGTACTGGGGGTTATATGCAATAGTTCAGAACCTAAGATTGTTACATGGCTTTTTTTTGTACTATATGCCATTTTATTGCTGTTTCTTTTTCAACCATTCAGTAATATTGTGACTTAGTTGTTTTAGTTTGTTACGTTCCATGTTTATTTGGAAAAACTTTAGACCTCTCTCAGTTGAAAACTTTACTTATTTTAAGTTTAGTTTAGTTTACAACACATTTTTAAGGTAATAATTCTCTTGCTACATTGTTAGCTATACTTTTATTTCTTTCAGTTATAACATTTTTTAAAATATCTATAATTTGTTATTTTGAGTTTTAGATGGCTCCTCTACGAAAGAAAAGTATAGATGATTCTCAAAGCGGTGAACATGATAATACAATTGAAAACAAAGCCGGACGAGTTACTTGGTCAAAAAACTCACTTCACGTCCTTTGTGATCTTTGTATTAAGCATGTTGAAAAAAGTAAAGGAAAAAATGGTGGAGTTGTATCTCAAAGATTGGTGTGGAAGAAAATTGAGTTGGATTTTCTAAAGGAGACTAAGTTACCATGGGATAAAATGAAATTGAAAAACAAGCTTGATTCGATGAAAAAAGGGTGGAGCTTGTGGAAACAATTGAAGGGAAAAGAAACAGGCTTGGGATGGGATCATGTGAAGGGAACTATAAGTGCTTCTAGTGATTGGTGGGCTTTCAAAATACAGGTTGGTTCTATTTAGTCAAATATGTTAGTACAATAGCTTGAATAGAAATACAACATTTGTTCATTTTTTTAATAGGAAAATTCTAAGTTTGAATCATTTCAAGACGAAGGGATTGAGCCCGAGCTTGAATACAAAATGGATCAAATCTTTGCAACGTCCGCCCAAGGAAATCTAAAGTACACTCCAGGAAATATCATCTCAGAAGAAGATTTGCATGTGGATGTTGATGATGTTTATACTCCTTCCCTACCTACTGATATTCATCATGATATGGGTGCTGGAGAGGAAGAGAATAATGAGGGTGGAAACTGTACAACTAATGCATCATGGGATGATTTGTGGAGTGAGCTTACCCCTACGTCTTTATCTCCTTCCGAGCATATCCCTCAGAGCTCACAAATTGAAAGAGATGAGAGAAGGAAAGGTAAGAGGCCACTTGAAGGTGATTCATCACAAAGCAGTAAAAGTGGCAAAACAAATCAAACAAAAAAAACAGGGATGGCGGCATTTCAAGAAATGTTTGGTGGCATGATGGAAGTGGTTTCGAAAAGGGGTGAATCAATCAACGAAATTACTAATTTAATGAAAGATATGATTAAAGCCAATTCAAGTAAGAACACTTCAGAATACAGTCTTGGAGAAGCAATGGCAAAACTGTGTTGCTTGGATGGTCTATCTACCACTTCTCCCGAGTTTTTCTTTGGTTGTTCAATGTTTGAAGATCCGCAACGACGGACAATTTTCTTTTGTTTACCGGATGACAATAGTAGGGTTGAGTACATCAAGTTTATGTACAATAAGTTAGGGAACTAAATTTGTTTGGATGTTTATGAGCTTTTACCTTAGACATTTAATTTTCTTATGCTCGTTGGAATGTTAATTTTTTCCTCTTTTAAACAATGTTGGAATATTGTGAACTTTAGATATCGTATTTTCTTATGTTATAATTTATATTATTTACTATATTATATTATTGCATATTGCATCATTTATTTTTACTTGTATACATGTAGGTATGGATAATGGCAATATGGAAATGGCACGACTTCTTTTATGCTTAGAGTATTTGAGCGAAGAAGAAGAATTCTTGGATATGGTTGCTTGTGTATCTACATGTCTTAGTTCCTATTTTGTGAACCATTTATACAAAGAGCCATGCATGACTTCGTATTTAACAGGAGAAATGTGGATCAATGAATTATTGAGTGGTCATGATAAAAGGTGTTTTAATGCCTTTAGAATGCATCAAGAAACATTTCGCCATTTATGCTTTGATCTAGAAAATAAGTATGGCTTAAGACCTTCATATAGGATGTCAGTTTTGGAGAAGGTTGGTTTATTTGTATTTGTACTAAGCAAAGGAGCTTCCAATAGAGATACTCAAGAGCGTTTTCAACATTCCGGTGAAACGGTGAGTAGAATTTTTAAGGAAGTCTTGAGCGCGATGGATGGATTTTCAAGAGATTTAATTGTACCAAAAGATCCAGAATTCAAGGATGTTCCAATACAAATTGGTAATGATGAAAGGTACATGCCTCATTTCAAGGTAAAGAATACAATACTGAGCACCTATCATTTTAAAATAATTCATTGTGTGTGTATATATCACAATTCTCTAATTCTTACTTTTTAATCCAGAATTGTATTGGAGCTATTGATGGTACACATATTGCAATAACGGTTCCTGAAGAGGAGCAATTGCGCTATAGGGGAAGGAAAGGGATACCGACTACAAATGTATTAGCAGTATGTGACTTTGATTTATTATTCACATATGTTTTAACAGGTTGGGAGGGGTCAGCTCATGATTCACGCATATTCTTAGACACAATCAACAATCCAGCTCTAAAATTTCCGAAGCCACCAAGCGGTAATTCCATACTTTTGTTTTGCTTCTCAACCAAGTCGTTCACATTTATGTATAATCTTCATACCAAAATTTTCATCATTGTAGGAAAGTATTATTTGGTGGATAAAGGTTATCCTGAAAGAGATGGATATTTAACTCCCTACCCCAAGACGAGGTACCATCAGTCAGAGTTCCGTGGTGCAAATCCGAAAGGAGTTCAAGAGATTTTTAATAGAGCACATTCCTCTTTAAGAAGTTGTATCGAGAGAGCTTTTGGTGTTCTTAAAGCTAGATGGAAGATATTGCAAAAAATGCCAAGATATTCACTAATGGATCAAAATAAGATAATTTGTTCGTGTTTTGCATTGCACAACTACATCAGAAGAAGCACAATAGTTGATCCAGGCTTTAAATTTATTGATGAGGATCCTGAATTCATACCTCTGGATGTATTTGAAGATGTTGAAGGGGGTGCTGCACAAGCTGATGCAAACATTCGAAGTCAAGAAATGAGAGTTATCCGTAATAATATATCTTCTAGCTTGATGGAAGCTAGACGCATTCATAAATAATTTTGACCATCTTTACTTTATTTTAAGCTAAACTAAGTATGACAAATGTTTGAGACGCAGTTTTACTTTTTATTAGTAGTAATGAATTGTTTGATACACGTGATTATTCTTTTTCCTAATTGACGCTATTGATGTTTTTTAATTTGCAATATAAAGTCATCTTATTTCTTTCTAAAATATTTATTCGTTAATATTTATTATACTTTTATTTTAGAATTTAATTTATTCTTTTAACATTTCAAATAAAATACGGAGTATTGTTTTGCTTAAATAATTTATTTTGCAAATAAATTATAGTTTTAAACATTATCACTATTAGCATTACTCAAATATTATATATACACTCATGTCCTTATACGTCTTTTTACATTCAAACAGCTGTTCTATAACAGCTAATTTTACCAAACGTTTATTAACAACAAGCTAACATAACCAGCCAATCAAAACAGCTAACTCAACCAGCTATGATCAAACAGCTGACATAACCAGCTAACAGCTAAAGCTAACAGCCGATTGCCAAACAAGGCCTAAGACTATAACTACATTACTAGCCTGTGTAGTGATAAACAAGATTGAGAAACAGCAGTTTAACATATGGAGCAGTTAAGGAAAGAAGCAGCACCAGAGGGAGCAAAAACAAAACATAAGCACGCCTGTGTGCATTACACGGCAAGTGAAGACTTGCAAGAATTCTTAGTTGCGGTTGAGGTCCAATGGACTCCAGAACAAGAATATACCTCCCACTGAAGTAGACTGGCCCAAGAAGAGAAAAGTAGATAAGGGAGAGAACTTTGGGTGGTAGGCTGAAGAGGAGGAGGCACCGAGGCAGAGTAGCTAATTAGTTTCCCCAAGTAAGATTACATGATCGACCTCACTGTTTGAGTGAGAGAAAGCTTAGCTCAAAAAAGATGACAGACTGCCCTTTGTGAGAGCTAGTGAGGCATGAGGTGCGAGCCATTAAAGGCTTTGAATGGCAAGGGCAATTTCCTCTACCACTGCGGCTGAGAGAGACAGAGGAAGCTATGTGAAACACTAAAACTATCACCATAGAGAACAAACATAAGATACCCTGCTTTGTTTTTCACTTTTCATTCATCTATCTTTTGTTTTAGTTTTCTTGCTTAAGCAAGAGAGATATCAATTCAATATGAAGAATTGAAAAACAAAAAGGACGACTTAAAGTCTAAGCCAACTACCATTAATATTTTTATAATTAACATTAAGAAAATTTTCAAATTGATATAGAACTATATTAAGGATGCCAGAGCAGACCATACTAATAAAAGTATAAACCCCAAACTTTAGAAAATACATAGAATGTAGAAATGTAAAATTGTTGCTGGATAACAAAGTAAAATAAGCTAGTGTGGTATAAAATGGATGACTTAATTTAAATAGCAAAAAAAATATTGTCTTTGAAATGAAGTCATCAAGATGAGCAATGCAAGGGCATTGATTTCGAATTAAATAATTGCAATAGAACTAAACAGGCATGATAAATAGTGATTTTGATTGAATCAAAATACCTATGTAGGTGGAGTCAATCCATGGCAAAGGGTTGGACTGTGACTTTGACAGAATTTTCTCTTTCGGAGATTCCGATAAAAGCATAACAGGTTTGGTTGCGGTCGAAGTGTTTTATAATTTTTTCCGTGAGCTTGATTCATGAGTTCCACATGATTAAAAAAACTGCCAGCACCCCAGCACACAGCCAACACATGATCAGACTCCAGGTGCTTCACTACCTTTATCATGCCTTTATTGAATCAAAAGATATTAAAACATATCATAGAGAAATAGGCATGATAAATTAATACTATTAACATAAGTATAAATCATAAACTAATTTTATAAAGAATAATCATATTATAAATAAGCCAGTACAAATGTAAAATCAAAAGCTAAAAGGAGAAAATAGATTGTTCAACACTTAAACTATTGAAAGAGATGCCCCCTTAGTTAACTTTCAGGTTTTAACTTTGTCTTAGTTAAAGACAGTTTATTCATTTTTGATAATAATACCAAAAATAACAAATCTTTTCGTCACGTGCATTTAAAGCTTAGAAGAATATATTTCATTAACTTACATCATATAACTACATCATCCACAACATTACACCCAATTATATAGATGAATGGAAATGATCTGCCTATGATAACTAATGTGGACAAATGATATATGATGAAACTAAAAGATGATAAAAAACAAGACAGATCCTACTTCATAACTAATTTCATGAGAGCAACTCAGAGAATATTGTAGAGCCGTCTTCTATAAAAAGTTAAAAAGAAGGTACATATTTGAGGATTGTAAATGACTTACAGCAAAAAGAGAGGCATATTCGAGGAATTTATACTTACACTCCCATGGCAATGAATTTATGATCACAACACTTGGAGCACAGTCACACGGCTCCATAAGACCATAACTACCACTACGGAGGACCTGCAAACATCGAAGGAAGAATAACAAATTAACAACTATCAAAGCATTGAGTGAAAGTAAATTCAGTAGAATAACTACTTTTGTCATGTCATAAAAAATAGAAACACTGATCTAGAGAAGATGTAGATAAGATAACCTGGTTCTGTTAACACTGCAGTTGTTACTTGTTAGAGTTGAATGGTGTATCATAATTTTTATTACACCCTTTGAGTCAAAGAGGTGCATGTTAATTGAGCTGATTGTTGTTGTCAGTTTAAATCATTTGATTAGACCCTCTTCCTTGGCAACCATCATGCTCTCTTTGGAAAGTTCAATTTCGAAGTGTACAGTATTCAAATCATGGTACTCCCTCAGTTAAACAATTAAATTCAGGAAGCAATTACACATACATGTCCCTTGAGAATGAGAGAGAGTAGAGTAGGAACCGTTCACCAAACCAAGGACCGTCTACAGGTGTGCAAAGCATGATATATCGTTGGGGCTACAGATTCACAAAGGCCAAACATTTTTAGTATATACAATGTATATATACATATACATATATAAGATAAAGTAGAAAGTATAAGATAACATAAACAGAATCACCAAGTATTCCGAATTACCGTTTTTCGTCAGTTCCAAGAGAACTTAATAGTGCGCTTGGAGGAGGATCGATCCAACACCGCGCAAGAGAGGTACAATACTGCAGAACCTGGACCTATAGAAGACAGTGACGATGGCATCACAGTGAGACACCTGACATCACAAGGGATGCATAAGCCTAGTAACTATTATGTAGGTTGTCTAATTGCTCACCCATCCATAAATCCTACATGAGTACCCAGTACCCTATAACTTATACTAACAAATGAATTTCTATGGGCTGTTTGTTAAATAACACTGAAAGTCAATAGAGAAACATAATCCATTAACACTCTTACATTAAACTTCTTTGTGTGGTCTTGTCAACTTAAAGTAGAAACTAAGTAATATTTCTCACATCCTATAAGAAGAACTTTTTTATTACCACCAACTAAGTCTTGATATTTTCTTTATCAGCGAAAAACTCAGAGAAAATATGAGAAGTACAAATTAGGAGTCATTATTTTAGCCAACAAGCATATATTACTTGTATCTTCAGGAGTCACCCTTCTGTGTCCTACCAACACAATGCAAAGTTTGAAATCAGTAATTAAGCATCAGTTCACATACTTCGAAGTTGACTATTTAAAAGAATGAACAAGTTGAATCCTGGAAAACACAAAACGCCACACACTAAACAGCCCCTTCTACAAAATATTAGAGTACAAGTCAGTTCTCTTTTAAATTGAAAAAAAAAGTGGTGCTGCAATACGTATGAAGAATTTTGCACTTATATTTTACAAAAAAGTTTCTAAACATTCAATTGGCACTATTTTTTTTTGAAAACATAATAAGAGGGAAAGGGGTTGGGAAGTGAGTGTTTCAGCCGAATACTGTGTAATTTAGGAGGCCAGTGCTTTGCCTTCACAAACTTCAAGATAGGTGGATGTAAGTGTTGTTTTTTAATCTTGAGTCAAATGGATTCTTATAATTTCGGTCAAGAAAGGCCAAGACAAAAACAAACTAAAACAAAAACAAAAACATGAGGAAACAAATTAAAGACATACGAGGAAAAGAGT